CGCTTCATCTCCTGCTTTGCGTTTGTGTGGGCGCCGCGTGCTGGCAGTGTCCAAGCGTTCTGTTTTTTTAGGGTTAACATAATTAAAGCCCTAATAAATTATTAACTATTTTCAGAATATGTGACCATTAAGAGTTGTGAGAGGTAGCTCTGAATGCATCTGTTCTTCACAGTCTAGTAAAACATTGCCCTGTGTGTGTCTGTGTGTAGGTTGTCAGTGTGTGTTGGCGTGGTCTTCAGCTGCCTTGGTTGGAGCTGGATTGGTTCATGGATGTCTCTGCGCATATCACCCAGCTGGACCTGTCATCTAACTGCCTGTCTTCTCTGCCCTCCGTGGTGCCCTGGGGTCTCATCAGTCTGAGGACTTTGGATCTTTCTAACAATGAACTTCAGGAGCTTCCTTTAGCAAACAACTCCCAGGAAGTCATCTGCTCCAGGTACATGAGGACACAGTCCTGGAACGCCTCCATTGGGAATTTGTCGATTTACTTTAAAAATTAGCAAAGGAAAGTCATTCACACACTAATAATTTTGTGTGTGTTGCCCTTTTCTTGCCACTGAACTTTGCCTTGTTCACAATCAGGTAAATTACCTTTCTTCCCAGTGCTTGGTATGAATTTTCTTAGCTCTTCTTGACCGTGTCTACAAGCCTAAAGGCACAGAGTTGCTGCCATGTGATTGGCTATCCTGATAATCTATACTTAATTGATTTATAGACAAATGTAATTGTAGGGTAGGGATAACCCTAACCTCCATTTTTCCTCTGCTTTAGTTTACAACAGGTGAATCTCTCTGAGAACCAGCTGAGCAGTTTGCCACCTGGACTTCTCCATCTCACTCGCATCCAGAAACTCTCTGCTGCCAAGAACCAGCTCACAGTTCTGTTTGACCTCCCTAAAAGTATGTTCCAACTTTTCTTCTATGTATGTACTGCTGTATGCACTTATGGACAGAGATATGCTAACCCTAACCTTTTTTTTTTTTTTTTGCCTTAAATGGAACAACAGATATAGGTGAGATGACTGAAACAGTAAACGTATAAGTCAGCTACTGTATAGACGAGGCGAGTCAGATTCTTTGTACTTGAAATAAAACTTGTGTGTAACCACATAAATTTAGGGGTATGGAAATGAAAGAAAGAGAGAAAGAAAGAAAACATTAAGAAGTAAATAATAAATGTATTAAATAATAAATATAAAACATTTGAAAAACAAAATAAACTTAATGAGAATAAGTCTTAAATGTATTGTTACTAAAGTCTTTGAGGTGGGGGGTCAATGAAAGTTCAAATGTCTCCCAGCACTGACAGGGAGCGAGGGTAGCATGGATGCACTTGTTGTGTAAACATAATTTATTTCACAATTCATCTTTCAGGCTCATCATGTTTGGTTTTAAGTCTTATTTTATTGCACTGAAACACCCGTGTAGTTTCATTTTGACTCTCCCCTTCTCACATGGGTGTCACACAGTCTTTCCCACCTCACATCCTGCAGAGATGAGCAGGTGAAAGAACATCACAGATAAAGGAAAAAATGTTCAAATAAACAGATGAACATGTATGGAAGGAAATTTGTCTCAAAGGGGTCCAAATAAGGCTGGGCAACTGATTTGATTCCATTTTTACTCAGACAATCAGAAATATTCTAATTCAGATCATTGGTGAGACGTCATCAGAGGTGTAAACATCGCAGCAGAGGCCTTTGTGTCAAAGTAACTGAGGATAAAACACAGAAAAACATGAGGGAGATTTTCCTGGCCTGGCTTTTTATAGCAGATAACCTTAAAAATGTTCTGCAGTAGAAGAAAAATGGAAGAAACCATGAATCAACAAATGAATATTACCTGATGCTGCTGAAGTGAAGCAAAGTTACAGAGGTTTGATTAGAGACATGGCTAAGCGTTTTGCAACTTAGCCTCATTTTAAAAAGTTTACATTTCTTCAGTTTTGAACAGCAGAAATGAGCCTTTCTTGTTGGGAAAAGAAAACAGCAGCTGTCAGCGCCGTACACAGCGATAGTCTGGTGCATAATAAGCGCATAATGCAGAAAACAGATTTTTGATGGTAAACTGGTCTCTGAGTACACTGAGAGAGAGGCACGATGTGCAGGAAGTAAACGCAAAAGGATTTCATGATGATATTTTTCAAACGTGAAGCGTAGTTTTCTTTTGCTGCTGGTTCGGTGAATTTTGGTCGGAGTGGCAAAACCTGAGTTAATATCGCATTATTCAAACTAAAATGGATATTTTAAACCCACTCTAATTACAAATGTGTGCAGTACAGTCGTCCCTCACTATAACGCGCTTCACCTGTCACCTCGCAGTTTTGCAGATTTTTTTATGTGGAATTTTGCTTCTTTTTTTTTTCCTTACAGCGCATTGTGTTCTGCCTCCTGATTGGCTGTAGACCATTGTCAATCAGTCTCGTGCCGTGTCTCCTGTACAGTACAGAATGTGTTCAGCTTGTCAAATTTACATAAATCTTTGATCGCTGGCAGTGTGACTGCCAACAATGTCGACGAAACGTTTTGCACCGTCGAAGGCCCCTGTTGGTTCCTTTGGTTTCATTCTATAATACTGGACTTATTTTTCTACGAAGGTTTGCACTTTGAGAGTTTAAACAAGAGAGAAAAGTGTGAAAATGTTCCTGCCTGTCTGAGAAAAGTGTATAAAGTGTGTAGTGAGGGGTTTTACAAACGTCTATAGTAATTGTAAAAAATAAAGCTGGCTACTTATTGGATTTCACCTCTCACGGGTTATTTGTGGAACTTAACTCCCACGATAAACAAGGGACCGCTGTAATTTGTAACAACGAAATCAAACCATGTCCATAAATTATGTGTAATACTGAGAAATGACACAGGTAAAAAGTATTGAACACATGAAGAAAGGGAGGTGCAAAAAGGCATGGAAAGTCGTGACACTACCTAAAATAATCTATAAGTAATTACAAAACAAATTAATATCAGCTGGTTTGGTCCCAATTGATGGCCTCTGAAAAGGTGTCACACAAGAAACATGTCATGATGGGTAAAACACCTTTGCAATCTTATTGTTGCAAAACATACTGATGACATTTCTGACGATTTCTAAACTACTGGAGTTTTCAGTCGGCGCTGCTGTGGCTATAATCTGGAAGTGGAGAGAGCTGCTCCTTGCAAGACTTCAGACAGAGGAGTTAAAGCGCCAAGGACTGCTTGCAGAGAACTACAGAAAGACTTAGAATCAGCACATACAATTGTTTAAATAAAATGTAATAAAAAAATAAATAATAATGCGCTCACCTGACTGGCCTGTATGCACGCTCACCACGCAAGGCTCCATTGCTGAAGAGAAAGCTGTTTACCATTTGCTCTACATTTAGACAAGCCTGTGAAATACTTGGAGAATATAGTCTGGTCAGATGAGACCAAAATGAACTCTTAAGACCATGTTTGGAGGTCAAAGGGCATTGTCTATAGTTGTAGGGGAAAAAAGGAACATCGAAACTGAACTTATTTTCCTAGATTTGTTGAAAGACTCTTTTAAAATCTTTACAAAGGGACCAATACAGCATGTTAACATGTTTAATGTTTTGTATTTTCTTCTATTTGATCTCAAAAAGCTCCTAAAACAGTCAGTGATCACCGTTGACCTCCCTCGGCTTTTATTACCACTAATCATTTATTTAAGCTCAGTTTTTAAAACCTTAGGATGTAACTACAGCCCAGCCCATGAAGCAGTATATGAATAACTAACCTCGTATTGTGGATGGATTATCTCAGTTGTTCTCCTGGCTGAAGTGTGGTCCTTTTACAGCATCCTGCCATGCGATTACATTTGTTCCTGACCACCGAGAACACTCACGTTAACTTTTATCGAGTGGAAAAAAAGTTAGCTTGTTTATATTATGCTAACATAGCTGTGTCGCTAGCGGTCACGTAGCACATCATTATATACCAGCTAGCCCAACTTCAGTAACCCTACAAACGTCACTGCTGTTTAGTTTTCTGTCTTCATTTATGCTGGAAGTGATAGCAGAGCTGTACGTTTTAATTTGTTTCCAAAACCCCGCAGTCAGGACATGCTATATTGTATTTAGATAGAAGCTAGCGAGCTAACTCCCTGCTAACTTCTAACTCCGTTAAATGTCATAAATCCCGTTTTCATGGATGCCTGGATGTTAAACTCAGTTGTTACACCTGGTAGAGCAGAACGCTGATCATTTTATTAAAGATGAAAGACTAGACAGTTTTTCAACTCTCAGTAATGCTGAGTGATCGTTTGATATATGGACCTGCAGCGGAGTTTAGACCCAGACACGGCTAGTGACGTCAGACTTAACGACCGGATCGCAAGATAATAACCACTCCTGTACCGATTGTGTGGGTACAATCTTTGTCTATTCAGCTGTAGCGAGCTCAGTTCTCACAGTCATGTAGGCACCAGCCTGATAATGAAGACACCAAGAGTGCGTCATGACCTTGAACACGTTTTACACTCAGTTGTTTTCTAGATCTTCACACTCATTCTTTGTTCAAGAAAGTCACAGTGACATATCAACAGTACACAGGGGTTAGATCATTACAAACACAGTTTGTATAGTTTTCTACATGGATATGAATGAATGTTGAAATCCCATATTCTTTAAATCACCTGAAGAGTGGAATTATATATTTTAATTATTTAAACTGACGAATCTCAAGTAAAACCAGAGCATTTGCACATCCATTCTACTTTGCTGTGTGTGTGTGTGTGTGTGTGTGTGTGTGTGTGTGTGTGTGTGTGTGATGAATAATGAACTGCCAGTTTAAGAGTTTTATTTAAGAAACCTGTTTCAGTGCCAAGAAAACCTATACAAACTAAAAACAGATGAAAATAGGTTTGATTTGCTGAAAGATGGGAGAATCCATGACACACGGGTCAATGGTTTCAGTTTTAATCACCAGTCACCAAATGCAAAGATTTGAACCACCTGTCTGCTGAAGACAAATGCAGCAATGAATGCAGCAACCCTGGCTAGAAGGTACTCATTCGCACTAATAAATCCTACAAATGTAGTGTGTGCTATTGCATAAGCTCGCTTATTAAATCTGACAAATATTGTGCTATTGGATACTGAAGAAATTTTGAGCTTGCATAAGCTCCTTTAAGAGGACAATAGAATCAATAGGGAGAGTCATCAGAAGCAAAGAACTGAAGAGTTTTATGTTGTGAGAAAAAGGCTGAGATCAGGAGTAAAGATCAGTTGCACCACTGGCAGGAGAGCGAGGTGAAAAACTCTTGTGTTTCAGGGCGAGGCACAAACAGGAATTTGGCTCTGAAACAAATGCTTCCTAAGAGAACATACAAGTGACTGTGAGCGCCATGTCATGTTTGTCTTACAAACAACAACAAGTCATTATTTCTCTAAATGATATGCAAATCAACTTATATATTTTATTGTCTTTTTTTATGCATCATATTTCCATTGCAATTAAATAACCATAACGATTAGAGACTATTTCTTTCTTTATAAGTGGGCAAAAAGAATGTGGGGAAAAAATGAAAATTGATTTTTAGATCACTTTTCTCGTAGTGTGTCAGATATGTTTTTGAGCATCCCACTTTTATTTGTGGTAATTCACACTAGTTTTAATGTCTAGTTTATATGTGTTGTTTAATTCCATTCTAACAGCCACTAACTGGATCGGTCTTCGTAAGCTAGAGGAGCTGGATGTGTCTGAAAACTGCCTGACCAGTCTGTCCACAGCTGTCATGCACTGTTTGAAATCCCTGAGGCTCCTCAATGTGAGCAGGAACAAGCTGAGCACCTTCCCTGACCCCTGGGCCTGTCCACTGGTAAAAAGCCATAATTATTCCTTTCTGTTTTTTCAACACTAATATACTGCAGGTGCAGTTAGCCTTGGTTTTTTCGTTTTCATTTTGATACTGATTCTATACATTCACCCACAGAGATCAGCCTTTTAGAAGTTATGCATAGTGACACTAATATATATATTTCTGTCTTTTCCTGTGCAGAAGCAATGCAAAGCTTCTTCCAATTTGATTGAGAATCTTCCAAACACCATCTCCATCTTTTGGAGGAATCATCTGGAAGAAGTAGACTTCTCTGACAACAGTCTGAAGGAACTTCCTTCATATATCTTTGAACTGGAGGTAGGAGCACTGATGTAGATCTTTTATTAGATATATTAATATTCATCAAGATGGAAAAATCTCTTAATTAAAAAACAAGCAAACAAACTGTTGACTACTTAAAGTAGTAGCAGTGATCTGAACAACCTTCAGATGGCACTACTTCTCTGTGTTTGGCTTCATGAATCTTTTAAGTTCTGCAGTCTAAAACAAATACAGCATAAATCTGTTAGATGATCTGGCTCAGCCTGCAGATTATATTTGGTGCATGGATTGTAGTGCTCTTAATATAACAGTAGACATCCAAGCTTTAAACTGCTACGATCAGTTAATAAACATTATAACATAGTTATATTACTGTATTATACTACTGTGGGTAGACTGATGAGTTACAGGATGGGTAAGATAAAAAATGTTAAAGGTTCTTTAGATTTATTCATTTTCATTTTATTTATTTGTAGTTATTTGTCTCACAGTTGTGACACCGTTGGTTAGACAAACTGAGGTAGAACCAGCAAATAAGGAGGCAAAAGGGAATACAATATTAGTCTTTAAAACACTTTATCCTAGATGTTCTGATAAGTCCATTCCAAAGTAGTGGCTTAATCATATTATTGTATTTTTCATACATTTGTCTGAAGACTGTTTGGTCACTGCAGTTAGCAAACTTTCCCTATTGCTTATGACCTTATTGGCATTGTTAATGATACAGTATACTTGAATCACCAGTGGGTGGCTGTACTACTGATCAGAAGGTTGGTGGATTGATCCCTGGCTCCCCGAGTCCCTATCCTTGGGCAAGATACTAACCCCAAGTTGCTCTCGGATGCATCCATCAGAGTGTGAATGTGTGTGAATGTTAGCTAGTAAGCACTTAAAGCATAGAAGAAAGTGCTTGTGTGGATGTGGCATGCTGTATTAAGTGTTTTGAGAGTAGAAAAGTGCTGTATAAGAATCAGGCCGTTTACCAGAGACCACCTTAGCCATAAACAGCCAGCTGTATTTTCCTTGGATTGAAAAAGTGAATGTGTGGTTTGCAGTATCTAATTTGTCTTCTCATTCATTGTCCTATCAGGCTGTGGTCTCTTTGAGATTGTGTGAGAATTACATTACAACACTCCCAGCCCCCAATAAGTGGAAGTGCTCTAAGCTCAAGACACTTGATCTTTCTCAAAACCATCTGGGCAAGTACGTCCTGTCATCACAAACACAACATCATTATGTACATGTATATTTTGTCTAGTATAGTCAACTAGTCCAGAGGACTCATGCTGAGTCTAGCTAAGCTTTCATAACACTTCAGTGAATGAACAGAGTCGACCGATTTATTCATTAATTATTGATTTTGAATACTGTTATGAAATGTTGTTAGGTCAAGCTTTTAACTTCTATGGATAGTTTAAGCTCGTCATGTGTTTAATTGAGCTTAAGCTCAAAATATATAGATTACATCTGTCACCCTTTCATGACTTTGTTTTTACAAATGAATTGACTCAATTACTGGCATTAAAATTCAGAATGATTCAGGTTTACACTAGTTTACAACTAGATTCATGCTTTTGGTGTAAACTGTAGATATAATATGCAGTGCAAGGGGAGGGGGGGCTTCAGTGAGATTTTGCTGAAATTTCACTGAAGCACCTCAAAATGGTACAGAGTAAGTTGTATGGTGCCCATGTGCTAACAAAAAAAAGATGAATGATAGGTATAGAAATCCTCACATGGAAATTCGACAACCTTTGCATGTAGAACTCAGCAACCACGCACACAAAGAAGCCATCACGCACGTAAGTGGGTCTGCTTTGCATACACAGCTACTTTTCATGGTCTTGTGGGTGAATACCATGGAGCTGATTTAAAGAAACAGGTAGTTAATCTACAAAAGCTGGACAGAGCCATAGGAAGTCCTTAATCCTTAGTAGGACTACTATCTCTTACTGGTATCTGCTCCTTTGTGCAAGGACTAAGATGAGGACTGCCTCCGCCCTACAAAATCACCTCCAGCAGGCCAGTATTGTGAATATCTCTGACCGGACAGAAATGACTGGCATTTTCCAATGAATACCAAAATCTGACGCAGGTATTCGTTGCCACTTGCACAGAAATTCATCAACCGTTGCACATAGAATTAAGCAACCACACGCGCAAAGAAGTCATCACACACATAACTGTGTCACGCTGTTGCAAACTGGTTTAAAGAATTTCTTCTTTCAGCCGGTCTAGAGGCCACCCCAAAATACAGCCTGTTCAGTTTCTTCCTGTGTCCAGAGGAGAAACTGCTGCTCAACAGACCACACCATAAAAGAAGGCTGATGCCACCATAGAGTCATAGAAGGGTTTCAGGAGCTCCCTCTGCACTCCAAAAACCCTGAGCCGTCTGCATAAAGCTAAACTCTCAGCAACAAGCTCACCTGGAGCCAAAGATAAGCAAGAGCCAGTCTTTCCAGGGTTTTCAGCAAGTGTGATGCCAGAATCACCAACTGTTGAGGTCTGTGGGCTTCTGAAGATAAAACCAGAGCTATTGAAAAAGTTATTCACTTCATTCGCCCACTTTGTTTCGTGACAAAACAGGAATTTAAAACTATTTCAGCTTCGTGGGTTCTGAGAGGATCTCCTCCCAGATCTAGACCAGAACCTAAAAACGTTCCTGGACAGTCTGGGGGACAACCTGGTGTCATTGAATGGGCCAAAACACAGAGTTATTGTACTGGATTTGGGGGCCATCCATCAGGAACTGCCTGCAAACTCTTGCCGCATGGGGCCAGGCATCGTCCTACACTAACTCCGGAACCCAGGACCCACTGCACCAGCTTAGGCTCATACAATAGGTCGAGGGATTATACCTTTATTCTTAATAGCAGTCATTGTGCTACTGCCTACTCCATAGAGGTCTGTGCTTCCATTCATGGATACGTATCCCCAAACCATCACTGACCCACCACCAAAACTGATCAAGCTGACAGGCAGCACAACATTCTCCACAGCTTCTACTGACCCTTTCACCTCTGTTGCATATGCTCAGGATAAACCTGGTCTCATTTGGGAGAAGCACAGGATGGACCCAACGATTCTGGTATTCAAAGAAAAATGCCAGTCATTTCTGATTGGTCAGAGACATTCACAACAGTGGCATACTGGAGGTCATTTTGTAGGGCTGAGGCAGTCCTCATCCTGGTCCTCCTGGCACAAAGGAGCAGATATTGCAGCACAACTAAGGGTCCATTCGTGGTCTGAAAGCTGAAGGCTCTGCCTCCCATAATACTTTTAAATATCCTAGGAACCACAAGTAAAGCAGCTGAGAGCAAACTGCTCTTCTGAGTTGTTATGGTACTATGAGGTCTTAAAGATAATGCCATCCATGTAAACATCTGGTTAGATACCATATTTCTAAGATTTCTAGGGCCAAGTAAAATAATCTCAGATTTATCTGAATATAGAAGCAGCACATTGAACATTATGCAGGTCTTTATGTCTTTTAAGATATTCCTGTAGTTTAACTAAATGGTGTGTGTTATACTGGTCCCAGCGCAAGAAAAATTAACCAGAGAGAAAGAGTCTAAAAAGTTATCAATATTATTGAAAGTAGCTGTACGTAATGATATGTTTCTGAGATGGTTATACTGTTATATATATAATAATAATTACATAATTATAAAAACCTAAAAACTGACACTGGTGTATAATCTGTGTTTCATTTTGTCTAGTCTTGTCTATAATCTCTGTAGAGATTTCTGAACATATAAATTTATCTTCCATTCTCAGTGATTGAGAAGACAAGAAAAGGAATAGCTGCATACAGTTTACTACTTTAACTCTGGTGAATCATCAGGGCTGTTGATTTTTAAAGTCACTGTTCTTCACACGAGTGGTCTGCTAACTGTATTTTAAAATGTGTCCATTAGAACAGAGGATAGTCCCAAATCCAGGAGACTGGCCTTCCTGACGACGTGGAACAGGAGGGACCCAGACCCAGGTAGAGGTCGTGTGTGTGTGTGTGTGTGTGTGTGTGTGTGTGTGTGTGTGTGT